TACTTCCCAAGTGACTAGCTAATAATGGTAATGATTTCTCATTTTGCGTGATATACATCAAATATGTTTTTGTCAAATTGTCCCAGTTACTTATCTTCTCACTCATCTGCTATGGTATGACATGGCACTGATCCATTTAATATTGTTCAAAGTTGCAATTCAATAATGAAATATAAAAAATATGGTGATCATAATGATGCAATCCTATATATACCACTGGTTGTTCTGAAGCTCTGTAAATAAAAGACAAAGTTAAACTTCATTTAATCATCATCTTGATAATGTGGAACATTTCTTAATGATATTGATAATAGTTATTAGAATATGGAAATCTATGATAATGTAATATAGTAATTTTTAATTTTCTAATAAGACTAAATTAATTCAATATCCTAATAAAGTTTTGATTATAAGTATCCAACAGTACAAAAAGTACAAAACAGATCTTTAGATTTCTAATATATTAATACAAATAGTGCATGCTTACATACATTAATCCTACAGGCAAAGAGAGGTGCAAGGGGGGAAATATAGTAATCTTAAAATTAAATTTATATACAAAAAATGGATTCCTGGGTTTGAATTAATCAAAATCAATATAACAGTCAATAATGTAATGATAAACTTGCTTGTGGGGTGGGCATAAAGTTTACACATTGCTCCTTTCATTCCCAGGACACAAAAACAGTTCAAAAGAGTTAAGATATAGTTGTACTGTATAAAATTCAGATATAGTTGTATTATCTATGTGTATATAATATACAAAGAATCAGGAACAACGTGAGTGATAATGGCTAGATGAGAAAGAAACCAGTTTTTGTGACCAGTAGACATTCTACTCCATCATGCTGATTTGACATGTCATTTGAATTTCTTTTTTGAGTACTTTCAAATAAAGCATCTTAAAACCATGGTCATTTATTCCTGTAATTATCATAGCTGGGTTTATAATGATGACTGCACTTTCAACATTGACCACCTCTTTTTATTTATTATTTTGTTTTACTGAAGACCTTGAGTCTATCAATAATTAGTCTGACTGGATATGAATAAAAATAAATAGTAAGCAAAACTAAATCCAAATGCCATTAAAAACATTAAGATACATTTGAAAGATTCGTTTGTTTTTTTTGTTTGTTTTGTTTTTTTTAATCAATGTATTGGGGCTCATACAATTCATCACAATACATAGATCAATTGTATAAAACACATCTATACATTTGTTGCCCTCATTATTCCCAAAATTTGCTTGACTCTTGGGTTCCCGGAATCAGCTCATTTTC